CCGACAACATTGCCCGAGGACATCTTAGATAAGTGCACTGCATTAACAAAAAGGAGACTCTGTTTTAAACAGATGCTTGTGTAGTTGTCAGATTGCATTCAGGGCTCACTGGCAAGGGGAGGAGAAGTTATATTTAGTGACACGTATTATGATAGATGAGTACAATGAACCAATGAATGACCGCCAAACATTCTCACATTATTTTTGATACACGCTTCTGCTTCTTTGTGTACAGACCATATTGAAGTTTCATATTCTTTAAAGAGTCCTCTCCTGCTGATGTTCAGGTGTATATCAGTATGTAGTGTCTCTACTTTAAAGAGTCCTCTCCTGCTGATGTTCAGATGTATATCAGTATGTAGTGTCTCTACTTTAAAGAGTCCTCTCCTGCTGATGTTCAGGTGTATATCAGTATGTAGTGTCTCTACTTTAAAGAGTCCTCTCCTGCTGATGTTCAGGTGTATATCAGTATGTAGTGTCTCTACTTTAAAGAGTCCTCTCATGCTGATGTTCAGGTGTATATCAGTATGTAGTGTCTCTACTTTAAAGAGTCCTCTCCTGCTGATGTTCAGGTGTATATCAGTATGTAGTGTCTCTACTTTAAACAGTCCTCTCCTGCTGATGTTCAGGTGTATATCAGTATGTAGTGTCTCTACTTTAAAGAGTCCTCTCCTGCTGATGTTCAGGTGTATATCAGTATGTAGTGTCTCTACTTTAAAGAGTCCTCTCCTGCTGATGTTCAGGTGTATATCAGTATGTAGTGTCTCTACTTTAAAGAGTCCTCTCCTGCTGATGTTCAGGTGTATATCAGTATGTAGTGTCTCTACTTTAAAGAGTCCTCTCCTGCTGATGTTCAGGTGTATATCAGTATGTAGTGTCTCTACTTTAAAGAGTCCTCTCCTGCTGATGTTCAGGTGTATATCAGTATGTAGTGTCTCCACTTTAAAGAGTCCTCTCCTGCTGATGTTCAGGTGTATATCAGTATGTAGTGTCTCTACTTTAAAGAGTCCTCTCCTGCTGATGTTCAGGTGTATATCAGTATGTAGTGTCTCCACTTTAAAGAGTCCTCTCCTGCTGATGTTCAGGTGTATATCAGTATGTAGCGTCTCTACTTTAAAGAGTCCTCTCCTGCTGATGTTCAGGTGTATATCAGTATGTAGTGTCTCTACTTTAAAGAGTCCTCTCCTGCTGATGTTCAGGTGTATATCAGTATGTAGTGTCTCTACTTTAAAGAGTCCTCTCCTGCTGATGTTCAGGTGTATATCAGTATGTAGTGTCTCTACTTTAAAGAGTCCTCTCCTGCTGATGTTCAGGTGTATATCAGTATGTAGTGTCTCTACTTTAAAGAGTCCTCTCCTGCTGATGTTCAGGTGTATATCAGTATGTAGTGTCTCTACTTTAAAGAGTCCTCTCCTGCTGATATTCAGGTGTATATCAGTATATAGTGTCTCTACTTTAAAGAGTCCTCTCCTGCTGGTGTTCAGGTGTATATCAGTCTGTAGTGTCTCTACTTTAAACAGTCCTCTCCTGCTGATGTTCAGGTGTATATCAGTATGTAGTGTCTCTACTTTAAAGAGTCCTCCTGCTGATGTTCAGGTGTATATCAGTATGTAGTGTCTCTACTTTAAAGAGTCCTCTCCTGCTGATGTTCAGGTGTATATCAGTATGTAGTGTCTCTACTTTAAAGAGTCCTCTCCTGCTGATGTTCAGGTGTATATCAGTATGTAGTGTCTCTACTTTAAAGAGTCCTCTCCTGCTGATGTTCAGGTGTATATCAGTATGTAGTGTCTCTACTTTAAAGAGTCCTCTCCTGATGATGTTCAGGTGTATATCAGTATCTAGCGTCTCTACTTTAAAGAGTCCTCTCCTGCTGATGTTCAGGTGTATATCAGTATGTAGTGTCTCTACTTTAAAGAGTCCTCTCCTGCTGATGTTCAGGTGTATATCAGTATGTAGTGTCTCTACTTTAAAGAGTCCTCTCCTGCTGATGTTCAGGTGTATATCAGTATGTAGTGCCTCTACTTTAAAGAGTCCTCTCCTGCTGATGTTCAGGTGTATATCAGTATGTAGTGCCTCTACTTTAAAGAGTCCTCTCCTGCTGATGTTCAGGTGTATATCAGTATGTAGTGTCTCTACTTTAAAGAGTCCTCTCCTGCTGATGTTCAGGTGTATATCAGTATGTAGTGTCTCTACTTTAAAGAGTCCTCTCCTGCTGATGTTCAGGTGTATATCAGTATGTAGTGTCTCTACTTTAAAGAGTTCTCTCCTGCTGATGTTCAGGTGTATATCAGTATGTAGTGTCTCCACTTTAAAGAGTCCTCTCCTGCTGATGTTCAGGTGTATATCAGTATGTAGTGTCTCTACTTTAAAGAGTCCTCTCCTGCTGATGTTCAGGTGTATATCAGTATGTAGTGTCTCTACTTTAAAGAGTCCTCTCCTGCTGATGTTCAGGTGTATATCAGTATGTAGTGTCTCCACTTTAAAGAGTCCTCTCGTGCTGATGTTCAGGCAGGGGCGGACTGGCCATCGGGAATACCGGGAGTTTCCCCGGTGGGCCGGTGCCGTGCGTGGGCCGGAGGGCCAAAACAATAAATACATTTTTTTTTTTTTTTTTTTGCCTAAATCCTACCGGCCCACATTTGTAAGTATACCGGCCACTCCCTTTTTTTTTTTGCTTAACTAAATCCTACCGGCCCACATTTGTAAGTGCCCACATTTGTAAGTGTTCCGGGCCGGCCACTCCCCATCAGGCCCGTAGCGGCTGTCACTGCGCAGTGAAAGATCAGGAGTGAGTTACTGATGGATAAACAAGCTCCAAAGCGTAAAGGAGGTGCACAAAAACTTAGGGATAAAAAAATGAAAGCACTTGAGGAAGGTTCAGCAAAATCAAAAAAAATTACAGACTTTTCGTTTGGTCCTGCAGCTGGTTCTAGTTGTAGTACAACCACCACCGGAGAAGCTGATGTAACGTTAGCCGACACAGCGGCCATTCCCAGTGGCAGTGAGTCCAGCAATGAAACTGACACAGCACAGCAGCATCTAGAGCCCAGTACCAGCAGTGATATGATGGTAAGTTAATGTTATGATTGATGCTGAAAGTGAAAATCCTCATTTGGCTAATGCTAGCTTGCTTTTTAATGTAGCAGATGAGGTAATATTAGCTAGCTAGCCTATTTCTAGCTAGCTAGGCTATTGCCTACAGTACATTGTGTGTTCACAGGGACAGCTAATGCATTAGCTAGCTAGCCTATTGCCTACAGTACATTGTGTGTTCACAGGGACAGGGTAAAATTAACACCATTCACTGACCAAATTCTGGTGAAATATGCAAGCTGCTGGTAGATTTGCTTCACTCATTGACAACGGTAATCTATTTGAACATTATAGCCACTTGACTTGGGCTGGTGAATCAATGAGACTACTATGATTGCTTATACTGTCTTTTGTTTGATTAGCTTAGACGTTAGGTTACCTTATTAATACTAAAATAAGAAAGGGTCCATTATTGTCAACCTGCAACTAAAGTTACTGTCTGGTGGAAATTAGCCTGTTACTGTCTTTAAGACTTTACTTGGTTTACATACATAATAATAACATGGTGGTAACATAATAACGTAACATACTAATCAATACTAATCATTTATGTAGGCTGAAGATGATCCTGCTGCTGACACTGACAGAGTTAGTCAAGGCCAGGATGTCAGTGCCACCCCAGTTGATTATTTCACCAGGCCGATGTCAGGCACATTAGACCTATTCTTCCGTTTTCACCCCCAGCAGAAGGCAGACAAGGCTGTAGTGCAGAGGGCTTTTTTTTGCAAAGACGGCACAAACAGGAAATGGCTATCATACAGTGAAGCCAGAGAAGTACTCTTCTGCTCCCTTTGTATGGCTTTTGCTAATCCTAGAGATAGCAACTCCTTCATCACTGGCATGACCAACTTCACACACATACATCAGAGAGTCGAGGAGCATGAGCAGAGCCATGCTCACAGAGGTTGCGCTGAGGCATATTTCCTCAGATTCTCAAAAAACACAATTCAGGACCTTCTCATGGGACCTCAGATGTCACGTCACAGAGAGGAAGTCCGCAGGAAGCGTCAAGTGTTGGAGCGCATCATAGATGTGTTGAAACTCATTGGTCAAAGGGGTTTGAGCTACAGGGGCACGCAGGCGGAGGCATTATATACACTAGATGATGACACCATTGATCATGGTAACTTTTTAGAGATGATTGTTTTGCTGGGAAAATATGATGTGTGTCTCAAGGAACACCTCACTCTCTGTATAGAAAAGAGCAAGCAAATACACCAGTCTGGTTTAAGACAAGGTAGAGGTTCCCTTGTCACTCTCCTATCCAAAACAACCATCAACTACATCATCACCACCATCCAACGCCTAATGAAGGCCACCATCGCCACTGAAGTCCGGGAATCTGGCATGTATTCTATCCAGATTGACACCACACAGGACATCACAGCCCAAGATCAGTGCTCTGTTGTCATACGATATGTGACAGACATTGTTCATGAGCGACTTGTTGCTGTGATTAAATGTGAGGCATCCACTGGGCAGTACTTTGCACAACTTGTTGTGAATGAAGTACTGGAGACCATGAAACTGGATGTGAGGCAGTGTATTGGAAATTCCACCGATGGGGCCTCCAATATGCAAGGCCAATATAAAGGCTTCTCTGCACTGCTCGCCAAAATGTCCCCCACCCATGTCCATGTATGGTGCTACGCACACGTCCTGAACCTCGTCCTGGTAGACACAACACAATGTGTATTGGCAAGTGGGTCTCTTTTTTCCCTGTTGAACAACATCGCTGTCTTCATCAGAGTGTCCTACCAAAGGATGAACATCTGGGAGAAGGAGAGCAAAGACCCAAGACACAGACGTCTCGCCCCGATTGGAGAGACACGCAGGTGGTCCAAAGACGTTGCTGTGACTAAGGTATTTGGCTCTTTTGGAAAGCCAGATAATGCCCTATATGTTGATGTCCTTCATACCCTCTCCGCCATTCAACATGGACAGACCATCAACGCCACTGCACGGGTCAATGCACGTGGATACATCACCCAGCTTCTGAGGTATGAAACAATACTTACAGCTCAGATCTTCCTGAGAATTTTCCAGGTCACCTCACCAGTCTCAAAATACCTTCAGAAAAGTGGAATGGACATCCTGACAGCTCATCGGATGATTGTGGCTGCAGAAACACAGCTGAAAGATATGACCAGAGACTTCGAGAAAGTCAAGACGGCGGCCGCCACATTCGTCCAGTGGGCCAACAATCAAACAGAGGAGCAGAGTGAGGAGACTGAGCTGGAGGTTGAGGCCGCTCTGCCACAGAAACGGGGTAGAAAGAAGAAAACCATGCCTGGAGAGATGTCCAAGGATGAGGCTGTGACTGATGCTGAAACATCATACAAGATTGATGTCCATAATCAAATCATGGACACAGTCACAGGAAGCATGCACCACCGCTTCCTCAAAAATGGCACTTTGTATGCTGATTTGGCACTTCTGGACCCAAAAAGATTCAGCCAGGTAACATCTTATGCCGGTGGTTTCCCAGAGGCAGCACTCCAAGAATTAAGCAAGTGCTTGCTGCCATTTGATGACAGAGCAACGGTGGCCAAATTACAGAGTGAGCTCATCAGTCTGGCAGGACAGCGGAATAGGTTGAAGACATCTGTATTTGAGGAATACACAACCAAGACAACAGAGGCTGGGCCAGAGGATGCTGAAGATGAAGCGGAGATGGTATATAAAAAGTGCTCATCTTGCAAGGACTGCCCAATGTGTTGCTACCGTATCCTTAAGCAGTACAACCTCCTGACAGATGCATACCACATCATTGGCCTTGCATACAGGTTCCTGCTTACCCTGTCTGTCACACAGGTAGCATGCGAGCGAAGCTTTTCAACACTAAAATTCATCAAAAACAAGCTCAGGAGCTCGCTCTCTCAACAGAACCTGGAGTCCTTTATGCTCATGGCTACTCAACCAGATGTTTTGAAGATGCTGGATAGTGACCAAATTATAGATGGTGTTGCAGAGAAAAGTGAGCTGCTGCAGAAACTACTAATTCAGTGAGGTAATAATACATTTACATTTATTACTATGTGACTTCCCAATCTTGACACTAATAAATTAGTGATTATTGCAGACTATTAAACAACATTAAAAACATGACATTTGTTCTAATGAAGGCTTCAGGTGGATGTCAGTATCTCTTCGATAATGTGTACATAACATGCATATATGTTTTGTCTCTCACCCATAGGCCACCCTATTTTTTCCAGAGGGGACTGACTTCTACAACCTTGCTCCCAATGTCAAAATCAACCACTTCAACCCAGCCTCCTCCTTTTAAAAGCAACACATGGATGAGCTCACTTATAGACCCAAAAGGGTAGAGAGGGAAGTATTGACAGGGCTTATTGTTTATAAGTATGTTGCCCTGCCCTCTAGTGTTTTTTGTTGTTGTGTATGTGTATATAGTATTGTAGCGAGCCCTGGGTTCAGAGGGAGGGGCTTGCATAGGGGAGGGGGGGGAAAACGGGGTTCAGGGGGAGTGGCTGCACCCGTAGGATAGAAAAGGGGGAAGTGACGTCTGACTCAGAGGTCGCACGGCTGTGGAGAAGAACGTTCATTCAGAACCCACATTCTGTTACTGAGTTTAGGCTAGTTAGCGAGCAGGTTTATTGTTCTGGGTGCAGTCACTTTTGCCTCCACTTGCTGTTCAAATAAATGTTGAAAGAAAAAGTAAATCTGTTTACAGTTCTGTTTCATATTGGTGTTGAGAGATGTATCCATAGATTTAGTCCCTAATTTTGCTCTCAAAATGCACCAGATTGATGCATTTAACTTCAACATTTTAAAACAAATCTTCCCGGGGGAGCATGCCCCCGGACCCCCCTAGAGGAGGTGAGGTCCACCACCTGCCCACACCCCCTGCCAAATTGTCTCACCCACATTGAGGATGCTTCCTACGCCCATGTTTTATTCCATGCATCAAGTCAGGCAAATTGGGTCCAAATGTTATTGCATCAATGATCTGTTAACATTAAAATCACTAAATATATGCTGTAACTATTTTGCTTAGGCAACTCAAGGGCTCAGGTAATGTGATTACTATATGAATAATGGTCCAAAATAACATAAAATGCATAGGGTTTTTTGTTAAGTAACATACTTTCGTCGCCGGCCGGCCGATACATGCCGCGCATTAAGTGGGCCTGTCTGTCAATTAATCCCCGGGCCACTTTTTCCCCCCAGTCCGCCCCTGTGTTCAGGTGTATATCAGTATGTAGTGTCTCTACTTTAAAGAGTCCTCTCCTGCTGATGTTCAGGTGTATATCAGTATGTAGTTTTCTCTACTTTAAAGAGTCCTCTCCTGCTGATGTTCAGGTGTATATCAGTATGTAGTGTCTCCACTTTAAAGAGTCCTCTCCTGCTGATGTTCAGGTGTATATCAGTATGAGTGTCTCTACTTTAAAGAGTCCTCTTCTGCTGATGTTCAGGTGTATATCAGTATGTAGTGTCTCCACTTTAAAGAGTCCTCTCCTGCTGATGTTCAGGTGTATATCAGTATGTAGTGTCTCTACTTAAAGAGTCCTCTCCTGCTGATTGTTCAGTGTATATCAGTATGTAGTGTCTCTACTTTAAAGAGTCCTCTCCTGCTGATGTTCAGGTGTATATCAGTATGTAGTGTCTTCTACTTTAAAGAGTCCTCTCTGCTGATGTTCAGGTGTATATCAGTATGTAGTGTCTCTACTTTAAGAGTCCTCTCCTGCTGATGTCAGGTGTTATCAGTATGTAGTGTCTCTACTTTAAAGAGTCCTCTCCTGCTGATGTTCGGTGTATATCAGTATGTAGTGTCTCTACTTTAAAGAGTCCTCTCCTG